CTGGGCTCCCCGGCCCGCCTCCTCTGTGACAGCCGGGTCCTGGAGCGGTACATCCTGGAGGCCAAGGAGGCCGAGAATGGCACGGTGAGTCCCCGCGCCCCCCTACTCAGCACCCCCTCTGGGGTGGTGTTCAAGTGTCTCCTCCACATCCAGGGACCAAAAGTCCTTCTGTGGCTCTGGGTACTGATGTGTGGGGGCTGGGGTGGGGTGGGGGTCGGGGAGCCCTCCAAGTACCCCTGAAAGAAGTCAGACCTGTAGCAGGCGGGCAGGTGCCTGAGCTCAGGGCCTGTGTTTCAGGGGAACTGTGCCCAAGACGGCAGCTTCAGTGAGAATATCACCGTCCCAGACACCAAGGTGAATTTCTACACGTGGAACAGGATGGAGGTGATTGTAAGCTTTCTTCTTGTGGGTGTGGGTGTGTGTGTGTGGTGGTGGGTGTGGTTGTCTCACTTGGGAGTCTTCGGGGGTGGGAGGGAGGAATGATCCCAAGAAAGCAACAGAGCTGCGGAGAGGAGGGTGTACGAAGTCCATCCTCCTTCCACAAAGCTCACCGCATCCCTGCTGTTTGCTGAGCTTGGCGTTTAGGCCCCGTGTACCCTGCTGAGGCCCTGTCTCCCATGCCTCTAGGTCAGCCAGCAGGCCTCGGAAGTCTGGCAGGGCCTGGCCCTGCTCTCAGAAGCCATCCTGCGGGGACAAGCGCTGTTGGCCAACTCCTCGGAGCCCTCGGAGGCCCTGCAGCTCCACGTGGAGAAAGCCATCAGTGCACTGCGAAGCCTGACCTCCCTGCTGCGGGCGCTGGGAGCCCAGGTGAGCAGGCGTGCCCCCCCTCCTCCTCCCATGGGAGGTGGTCCTTTTTGTGAACGGGGAGAAGGGGCCCTGCTGCCCTCCGGAGGTCCCTGGCACTGCAGTGACCGACCCCCTGCTCTCTCCTTGGCAGAAGGAAGCCACCTCTGGACCAGACGTGGCTTCAGTCACCCCACTCCGAACCTTCACTGTGGATAACTTGTGCAAACTTTTCCGCATCTACTCCAACTTCCTCCGGGGAAAACTGAAGCTTTATACGGGGGAGGCTTGCAGGGGAGGGGACAGGTGACCAGGTGCTCACCCCCCCACCCTCCGAGCACACCCACCAACCTCCAACACCACTGCTGCCCGTGCCATGCCTCCTCACCACCACTCCCAGCCGCCATCAAGGGGCTAGCCTCTCAGTGCCAGCCTGCCCAAGGGACACTCCAGGGTCAGCAGTAATGGCCCCGGGACGGAAGAACTGTCCAGAGCTCATTCTGTGAATGAAGGGCATCATCACAGGGCCAGTCTAGGGCCCTGGAGAGAAGAGAGTAGCTTTGAACTCAGGGTCGGACACCTAGCTTCACCCCAGTGCCCTGCCCGTTTACTAGATGACTGCAGAGGACTTGCTTTAGTGGGAAAACAGGTTTTCTGGCACCTACTAAGCAGGGGCAGGATGAGCTGGAGAATTTAGGTGGTAAGCCTCGAATTTCCCAGGCCTGTTGTGACTCCCGATGGTAGGGGGGCTCACTGGACATGAGGAGGGTGGGGTAGGAGCTGAGAAGATGGGACCAGGGGCTGGCCCCTGGCCGTCCTGACATCTGAATTTTGTATCTTCGATCTCACTGGCAGGGATTCAAACGACCACTTCACCTCTAGGCTTTCCTGGTTCCCCGGAAGCACCCTGACTTCCTTGGCTTGGGCCCCATCTTTGCAGCCGACCTGGGTAGAGGGGAGCAGGCCCTACGTGCTGCCTTGCACGGCCTGGCTGACCTCTTGACCTCACTGGGCCTGCGGCCACAGCTCTGCCCACGCTGGTCAATAAGGTGTCTCCACTCAAGGCTGCTTCCCAGTAGGCAGCTGCCAACCGTAACCAGGAAAACCTTTAGTGCACCACCACCACCACCACCGCTGCCCTCTCGGCATCACTAGCCAGAAGGAGGGGCCCCTTTGAGGGTCCAGAGCAGCTGCCAAGCCTGCCGCTGGTCCTTTAGTATTTCCCCTGCCTCTTTAGGTAGCCTCTTCTGCCGCCTCCCCGCCTGAGCTCCGGAGCCCGCTCTAAACCCAGTGACTCTCTCCTTCCTGGGTTTCCCCCAGGTCTGCCCCATTCTGATGGCTGCAGGACGGCAGAGGGGCGCCCCTGGGGCTGCCTTCAGGGGACCCTAGCTCTGTGTGTCCCCTGCTGCGGCACCAAGGAACTCAGCCTCTGCTCCTGGCTCCCACTCCTGGCCATCATCCCATTCAGAGGGGTCAGGCCGGCTTCTATCACAAACGTTGGAAAAACCGCTCCTGCTTTGTGCAAATGTGCAGAGGGAGAGGATGTTTCGCAATCAGCTGCAGGAGAAATTGCGGGGCGGCGGGGGTGGGGGAGGGCAAGGGTTGGAGGAATATAGGCAGAGTGGGGCGGGTTGGAGGGGTGGGCTCTGTGGGGAGTGGCGGGAGAGGTAGGGGTGGAGCGGTTAGGAGGAGGACTCCGTCCAGGGGAGGATCCAAAGACTTTCCACTCTGGGCAACAGGCTCCGGGGTTGCAGTGCCCTCTGCAGGCTCTATTTGGAACTGCTGGAGAAGCCTACAAGCACTAGACTCCGGAGGGCTCTGACCTCAAAAATTCCAATAAAATATTGTGTTGTGGTTTCCGCTTATGACATCTGATTCTTGCACCACGGCTGTCAGTAAATCAAGAATCTCTCTCCTGTTGGGGACATCGAAGCTAAGAGACTTGTCTTTAAACCCAAGGAATCCAGTTAAGACCGAGTCACAAGATGGAGGCCTTAGAACTCCAACAACGTCCACCTCATAGTCTGATGTGCAACCTAAGGCACAGGTAGCTCCTCAGCAAGCACTCAGCTCTGCCCCCCCCCCACCTCCACTATCCCCTGCCCCCAAGGATTCAGGTCCAGGAGTTTCATTCTGAATCTTACGTAGTAATTTTGAACCTGAACCCTATGCCTACCCCTGGGCCAGGTGTGATGGGTCAGTATATTAGAAATACTGCAAACCCAATTCATTTACTACCCATTTATGGAAAGCCTAAACGCTAAAGCAAACAAACTCACTTCTATGGGGTCTATGCCAACTCATAGTGACCTTATAGGACAGGGTAGTGGGTTTCTGTGGGTTTCTGAGACTGTTAACTCTTTACAGGAGTTGAAAGCACCATCTTTATCCTGAAGAGCAACAGGTGGTTTCAAATTGCTAACCTTGCAATTAGCAGCCCAGCTTGTAGCCACTATGCCGCCAGGGCTCCTGCTTTGGCACTAAGTGCCGGCAATCACAAAAGGACCCTGACTGAGTTGCTCACAGCACACAGTCCTCCCTGGGGGAGGAGGCATGAGCGCCGGCGGAGTCAATATGGCTGGGGGCTGAGATGCGAGGAGGTGCCCAAGCGGCCCAGGAAGGGAGGAGCCACATCCATGAGCGCCTCCTGGGCAGGTGTAGTCCCTGCTAGGAGAGGTGGCCGTCCTTGGAGGGCACAGCAATATCTCAGAGGCTGTTCAAGAGCAGGCCAGGAGTGTGGCCTCTGGTCTGTTCTATGACGACAACATCAACATGGCTGCCAGGTCTTCATTCATTCTCCCAGCAACCCCTGGACGCCAGAGGACACAGCTCTTGCTCATTTGCTGGAGGAGAAAAGTTCTTCGAGGGAAGGGCTGTAGCCGGTTCTCTGACTGCCAGACAGGCGCAGGCTCCCAGGCTCCCGGCAGCCTGGTCCCGAGTCAGCGGGTGACATCATTGCTTACTGGGCACCTTACTTTCTGTAGAGAGCTTTGCAATTGACAAGGTGCTCTCAGTCACTCTCTCATCTGTTCTCCTAACACCAGCAGGAAGGCGAGTCTTGTCAAAGATTCCCCGTGTTGCAGACCAGGAAACTGAGGGCCAGAGAGAGGATGGGTCTTGCACAGGTCATGAGAACTAATTAAAGGAAATTAAAAAAAGGATCAGGACCAACGTCGGTCTTCTGGATTCTGGATCCCTCTTTGAGCTGAAGTACAAGATCACACTGAAAAGAACAAAACCCACTGCCATGGAGTCAATTGACTCAAGGGGCACCTTACCAGACTGAGTGCCCCTTTGGTTCTCCAACATTTCAATTCTTTTCAGGAGTAGACAGCCTCACCTTTTTCCCTAGGGGTGGCTGGTGCGTTTGAACTACTGACATTGTGGCTAGGAACTCAGTTCTTAGTCCATAATGCTACCAGGGATCCTCTATAAGATCGTGGGGCTGGGGGAGGATAGGGCAGAGGCAGTGCATGGGGTGGAGGTGGAGGGAGTTGCCCTCAGTGAGTGCACCCTTAGGCCCACCCACCCTTTGCTACCAAACTTTCCCCCTCCACTGGACTCCCACTTTCTCCACTTGGGGAGGCACCTCCCCTCCCCTTCCACTCCTAGCCTTCTACCCCCAGGGGCCAACAACTTTCCATCCTAACCTCTTGGCCCTGAGTGCCCCGGCAGTGTCCTTCTCTGGCTCTGAGCATCCGACTGATCAAACATACCTGCCTGGGCCCAGCTCCCGGGCCGCCTGGACTCTGGCAGGAACCACTCGGTCCACTGGTCTTACCAGAGGTTAGATGGGAGGAGGTGGTGGTGGACTGCTCCTGGAACTGAGTGAATTAAGTGGGACATCAGAAGTAAGGTGAACATTCATTTTATCCATTCAAGCTGTTCGAGGCTTGTTCCACAAAAATCCCTGCATGTGACATTCTGACAGATTGGGGTTAAGGAAAAAAAACCCCAAACCCTAAGCTTCCCAACTTGGGTGCGAGCATGTGCCACACGCCCAAAGGTCGGGAGAGCCCTGTGATTTCCTTACAATGGCGCGAGCCCCACGCAGATGGGTTTCTGATTGTAGAAGCTCCTTGGGTTGTGTTGAATTGCTCTTCCCCATCCAGGCTCAGAGAGGGGACTGAAGCACCCAAGGACGCAGAGAGAATGGAGATGGGGGTGGGGGGGCTGGGCTCCAGTTCTCACGATGGTCTCAGGTGTCGTCCCACCCTAGAGCCTTCACACACCCGGGTCTGTCAAGTGACAAGCCCTCCCCACTGCCCATTCCTGACTCCCCACAAAGCAGGGCCCTCTGGTTGCCTCCCACCAGTCCTGCCTGGAGCTACGGGGAAGGTGCGCTCCCACCCATTCATGCCCACCTGGAATCTCAGAACGTGGCCTTATTTGGAAAAGAGGGTCTTTGTGGATGGGATCCGTCAGGATGAAGCCCTGTGTCCACTCCGACTGGCATCCCTATAAGAAGATGAGAGGACGCAGACACAGGGGAGCTGACCAGGTGGAGGTGAGCCAGCCAGGAGCCCCAGGAAAGGCAAGGATCGCCAACCACCAGAAGCTGGAGGAGGGAGGAGGGAGGACGGAGCCGTCGGTGGACTCAGGCCCAGCTCACACCTTGATTTCCCGCTCTAGAACCCGGAAAAGGAGGAGGTCTGTTGTTGGAAGCCACCCACCCGGCGAGTGGTCACGTGGGAATGCAGCCCTAGGAAATAAAGGCAGCTCCCAACCCCCACCCAGTGCAGAGTAACAGCCCAGCCCTGTGGCCCCGAGAGCAGGTCAGCAAAGGCATCGCTCAGAGGAGCCGATTGCCCAACCGCTGGGCTGTGGGTCAACTGTCTCCTGCTGCTCTTCCCGATCTTAACCATTTCCTCCCTGTGTCCACTCTGCAGCCTGGCCTGTTCCACGAAGGAAGGGGGGATGTCCGCCAGCGTCAGGGATGGGCACCCTGGGTAAGCCCGACTTGGACTTCAGGAGAAGAGGCTCAGCTTTTCCAGGGGTCAGCTGTCTCTGGATAGTACTCTCCAGCCCCCTCTGGGCAGAAAGAGTTCCCGGTAGGCACAGGGTTTTATTTTATGACTTCTCCCCTCAGTACCTGGAGTGCGGGGGGGCCGCCAATGAGAATGAACTGGCCCAGGCATCTCGGCCACTGGTCAGAGGCAAAGGTCAGGCACCGTGGACACAGAGGTGTACAGGGGTGGGGGTAAAGGGAGGAAACTACACGGTTCTAGGCGTGCCTAGGTATGGTAAACAACAACAACAAAACAACCTCACTGCCACTGAGTGGATTCGACTCACGGCAACCCTACAGGACCGGATAGAACTGCCCCTGTGGGTTTCCAAGACCATCCCTCTTTATGGGAGTAGAAAGTCCCATCTTTCTCCCGAGGGGGAGCAGCTGGTGGTTTTGAACTGCCGCTTTCAGCTAGCAGCCCAATCCCCAGCCTAGGTACAGCTCCCTGCGTGCAGAGGGGTTGTCTTCTTTATAGAGCGCTGCTCTAACAGAGACCCCCGAGCGGAGGGGAGGGCTTCAGTCACAGAAATGAACAGCCCAGCCCAGGAGGCCAGAGATCAGAGCACCCGCTCTGGGGGGCCGTGTACCCTCTTCGTGGTGCCTTGTCCCTTCTGCTTCCTCGGGCATGCCCAGGTATCTCTGCATCTGTCCTAGCCCACCTCTGCTTTGTTCAAGTGCTTGTTTAATCTTCTATATCTTGAGACCCAGCCTACACTAATGCTAGCTCAGTCGCATAACAGGTGAGCTGATGACCACAGGCCGAGAGGTCAGGTTGACCACAGATTTTGAGGGGGCACGGCTCTATCCGTAACAGGGGTTGTGGTTTTGGGGGCATTTTCTGTGTTTGTTTTCCCTTTAAAGTTTTGTTGTGAGGTGGGTGAAAGTGGATGGGCAACAGCTCGTGCACATGTTGTTTTGCGACATGGACCGCCGGTCCCTGCCATGGAGACGGCGTCATCACCTTCCTGGGTGGACTGTGTCCCTCTGTGCGCTTGAGCTTCCACAACACACCGTGTGTGTGTGTGTGTGTGTGTGTGTGTTGTGAGTGTGTGTGTGTGAGTTTGAGTATGTGTGAATGTGTGTGTGTGACTGTGGGTGTGAATGTGTGTGGGGGCAAGTATGTGTGAGTGTGTCTGAGTTTGAGTGTGTGTGAGTATGAATATTTGTGTGAGTTTGAGTGTGTGTATGCGTGTGTGTGAGCGAGTGTGTGTGAATGTGTATCTGTGTGACTATGTGTGTATGAGTGTGTGTGAATGTGTATCTGTGTGAATGTGAGTTTGAGTATGTGTGTATGAGTGTGTGTGTGAATGTGTGTGAGCGAGTGTGTGTGTGAATGTGTGAGTGTTTGAATATGTGTATATGAGTGGGTGTGAGTTTGAGTATGAGTGTGTGTGTATGAATGTGTGTGAACGAGTATGTGTGTTTGAGTATGTGTGGATGAATGTGTGTGTGAACAAGTGTGTGAATGTGTGTGTGAGTGTGTGCAAGTGTCAGTGTGTGCGTGCTGCGATCTGCGGATCTGAGACTGGAAGAAGAGAGGGACTGTGCCCTGGAGGGTCCTAAATCCATGTTTGCCTTGGGGGGGGGTGTCATCAAACACCAGAGTGACAGCTCAGACCATGACAGCCCCTGGGAGGTCGTACCCACTCACCGCCATCAAGTGGATTCCGACTCCCAGAGGCCCTACAGAGGTCCTGTACATCTTTACAGGACCGGGCAGCTTCACTCCCCCACCCACCCTGCAAAAAATGGGCTGGTGGGATTTGAACCACTGACCTTATGGTGAACACACCTGGCAGAGAGGCTGCTAAATAGGAGCCACCGGCAGCAACCGCATGGCCCCCTCGGCGGTTTCTACCCTTACAGGACCCACCACTGACTGGCCCCTTCCACCCCTGCATTCTGGACTCTCCTTGCCCAACAGCTCATGAGCCCATTTCTCTCTGGCTGCTGGGGCTGTCTCAGGAGTGTCTCACAGCCCCAAATATCTCTGCTCTTGGGAAAAACGAAAGCGATCTCCGCCCCCCAAACTCCCCAAACCCCCCGTTCCTCTGTGTTCTCCAGGTTGACTTCTCTGCACAGCTGTTACTCTCAAACGTCCCCCGCTACAACTTTCACTTCCCCCACAAAGCCTCCAGCCTGATTGCTCCTCAGCCAGGCTCCTCAGATGGCTCCCATCACGATCTCTAACATCATCCCAAATCCATTACACAAGGGGCACATTCTTGCTGTGGGAGAGTCACACAATCATAAACAATCACAGGGACACCCGGGCCTGCCTCTGCTCGGAGATGACCACTGGTAACTGCTTGTCCTTCTCCTCCCGCGGAACAGCCCCCGTGGCTTTCTAGACGGCAACTCTTTACGGGGAAGGAAGCCTCGGCTTTCTCCTGTAAAGTAGCCGGTGCTTTCCAAGGGCTGTCTATGTGGGAGCAGCCGGACTTGTCACCGCAATGTCACCAGGGCTCCTTCTTGAAACACAGGCACATAAATACCTACGTTCATTGGGGGAGTTGACAGAAAGGGCAAAGTCCGTGCAATTTTTCATGTCAGACTTATAGAACAGAACCTAGATTCAGGTGTGTGTGTGTGTGTGTGTGTGTGTGTGTTAGTTACATAATTTCATGTCAACTTGTTAAATAGGTTATCGGGGTGGAGGCTAGCCTGTCAATCAGGTCATAGCCATTCATGCCTCTATGTGGACTTGGCCTTCTCCTGAGGATTCTGGGAACTCCTGTCTTCCTCCCTGGAGGCAGGGCACACACTCTCCCTGCGAGACATTCCTGTTGACAAGCCACATGGAACTACGCTGATGGAGCCAGAGCCCTGGAGCTGGAGGAGCCACGTGGAGACACACGCCAGGGCCAAGATGCTTCCACCACCAGTGGATCCACTAGACTTTCCACCCAATGGCCTGTGATCTTCCTGCATCAGGCGTCATTGCATGTGTTGCATGAGTCTGAAGAGGAATTTATAGACCGGGTTATAAATTTATAGACAGTGTTAGACAGGGTTCTCTAGAGAAACAAAACCAGGATATCTATCTCTATCTCTATCTACCTATCTCTAGCTATCTCTATCTAATCTATATCTTAATCTATATATCTAATCTATATCTGTATTAATATATATGACAAGGCTCAGTTCAACTCACTTCCGTAGAATAGTTAAGATGCTGGAAGTTCTTCAGCTCACGAGGGCTGCTGGGTCCAAGGTGAAGGAAGCAGACAGCTGAATCTTCACTCGGGCAATGCAGGCAGAGTCTGGCCACAGGCAGCAAACAGCAGGGCAGGTCATCAACAGTCAACAGCTCAGGAGTTTAGCGAAGCAGGCCTGGATGGGATATCAAACTCAAGCAATGCAAGACAACAGGATCTACCAGCCTCAAGCTCAAGCAATGTACGCACCAGCAACCTGGTGAAGCAGGTCTTGAAGGAGCCTCAAGCTCTAGCAACACAATCCATGGGTTTGCTGTCCCACAGGGAGTGTAGCTCACAAGTTGAGGCAGAGAATTAACTAGCTAAAGCAGCCGCACACTAGTTCAATCACCAGAGAGCAAGAGAGAAAGGGGGGTGGGCCTTGCCAAGCCATTTATCTCTTTGTCCCGCAGTCAAATTGCGACCTTATTAATCCCACACGTTCCTATTGGCCAGGTTGGCACAATAAACCTACCTATCACAACTGGTATCGGACATATGGGCTAATATCGGACTTAGGGACTTGATCCAGACTGGGCTGGGATGTTTTCTCAATATACAATTGCTCTTGTATATAAAGCTCTTTCTTGTACACATGAGTGTCTGTGAATTTGTTTCTCTGGTCTACCCGGACTAACACCGGGTGTATTAGAGGACTGTTCCCTGCATGGTTTGTCCCCTCAGGCACTGTCCACAGGACTCTGAGAAGCTGTAGGAATATGAAGGCGCAGACTCAAGGTGGGAAAGGACTTTATATCGTGGAGCGGAACCTTGTGCTCCTCTATGCCATCTGGGGTGAGTGACCTGCTGGGAGTCCCCATGTCGGGGTTTTTTTTTGTTCCCTTGACTTCTTTTAGTTTAGTTTAGTTTTGTTTTGTTTTGTTCCCTTGACTTCTTTTAGTTCATATATCTGGGTGCTCTTTCAACCACCAGAATATACAGATCTACCCACATGATGCTCCTTACTGTGAGCGCTACGCTTTCATGTCACTCAAAGGAGTCCCGGGGGCACAGTGGTTAAGATCTCCCCTGCGAACTGAAAGGTCAGCAGTTCAAACCCACTCTGCACCATGGGAGAGAGACACGGCAGCCTGGGAACCCCGGGGGCAGTTCTGCTCTATCCTACAGGTCACCTTGAGTCAGAACCAAGGGTTGCCAATGGAATTGTGATTGGATCACGTAGCTACGGGAGAACATTTGGGTAACCCTGAGGTTTTCCTTCTCCTAGTGACTCTGTCCCACAAGCAACATCTCAAAGGCACATCTTTGCGTAGATATGCAGATAACACTTTCAGAAGATTCCTAGGAGGGAAAGAAAAAACACACAACAACAACAGGTCAAAAGATAAGGTCATTTGAACGTGTAATGGTCTTTGTCAAGTTGTCTTCCAAAAAAAATTTCCAGTCTGGGTCCACCTGGGTCCCATGATAAGTTTCTGTCGACATGGTAGTTGCAGTTTAGACTGGGGTTTTTCTTCCATCTAATTCCAAAAACTCAGTCAATGAACACAGTTCCACTCTCACAAACAGGGGTGGGGTAGGGTCGTCAGGCGACACCCTAACTCAACAACGACTCAACTCAACAGCAGCTCAACCAGATGCCAAAGCAGGATGTCTCTCTGAAAGCTTTATTGACTACGTTATTTCCCCCTCTGTGCCTTCTCTCTTGGAAATCATTGGCCAAGAGACATTTTCCACCCTCCCTTTACTTGACCATCCAAGGCCTTTGCCACCGTTGCCAACTACAGAATTTTAGGTGTGGAATGATTCTCCATCGGAAGGCTGTGAGATTCCGTCACCGTCTCAGAATCCACGGTTGCTACTGAAAAGCCCACCGCCATGCTGATTCCTGAGCCTTAGTATGTGACCTGCGTTGTCCTATCTGAGAGTGTTTAGGGTCTTTCTCTTTACCTCTGACAGCCTGGAGTTTCATCGCACACCTGCAGTGGGTCGCTTTACAGTCTTCGTCTTAGGGCTCTTCTCATCAGCCCTGTATTTCACTTCTGGGCAATTTCCCTTGATTTTTTTCCCAGCGATTTCCATTCCTCTGCTCTCTCTGTTCTGAGCTCTCTCTTTTTTCCATTGAATGTTAGATTTTCTGGATTGATCCTCCATGTCTTTGCCCTTTCCTTGTAGCTCCCTTTCCTCTCCCACACTCTTGTTTTCCTTCCCTTGATTTCATTCACGACCCTATTGGACTCTAAAGTGTCCTTACCCCGGCTTTAATTTCCCAGGGAGTTTTCTTCTCCGTTTTCCTGGTCGTCCATTTTCCATGGCATTATGGGAGATGAGGAGGGTCAGGGGTGGATAAAAGTGGTCCAGGCTCTTCACTGTGTCCTTCCCCTCTCCCCTGAGAGCTGCCTCTGAGGACCCTCATGGCTCCTTCAGTCTGGACATTGCTGCTGCTGCTGCTGCTGCTGCTGCTGGGGGATACCAGGGGCCAAGCCCACAAGCCTTCCCGTGTCAAGTAAGTGGGGCTGGGTGGGGGGGTAGGGATGAACCAAGGGCCCCCTGTGATGGCGGGGGGCTGTGATGAAGAGCGGAGGCAAAGCTTGAGAAAGGCAAGAGCCCTAGTCGGAGGTCAAGGAGTGCACAGCCTGAGTGTATAGGCGGGAGAAACTCAGGAAGCACTGACCCAGGAGAAACAAGGGAGGAGGCAGAGGATGGGGGAGGAGGAGAACAGAGAGCCTAGACCCTCAGGTTAGTCTCCGGGATACCAGGGAGAGCAAGGAGGCAGCAGCAGGAGATGAGAGATGGCTCGAGTCTAGGTGCTGGTCTGGGGGAAGGTCAGCATGGAGGATTCGTGGAAATCAAATCAAGGGGTGCCCTGTGGCCCACACGCACTGGGGAGGGGCAGTTGCTTCTCCATGGAATTGGTTAGGGGCAGAGGGGAGGCCAGGGGCTAGCTGCTTTTTGATACACATGTATCAAAGATGTGTTTTCATGTGGCAGATGGGATACACCCCCACCCACCTGATGACATAGGACAGAGACAATCCTTGTTCTATAGGGAAAATTGGGCCATCACTCAAAACGCAGCTCAACGTCTAAGTAGGAGCGATACTCCTAAGGACCACCTAAGAATTCCTCCTGGAGTGGGGGTGGGGGTGGGGGTGGTCCCTCCTCGTGCGCGATGGACCGTCAAGACATCCAAGGTCCAACCCAGGTGAGGGGCATGAGGCGCTCCGAGGGCCACTGTCTAGGACAGAGAGAGAACTAGAAGCGGTAGGTGAGCTTTTGGCCAAACAGAAAGAAAACCAGGCACATTAGCATGATGAAGAATAGGAAACCCGCACAGGGATGATGGCGCGGAAATCGGCCGGCCCTGTGGCCCCTTGTCTGACTTGCGCTCTTTCTCCACATCAACCCCAGGAGACAGAGGCATCTGACCTGGAGGCTGCTGGTCCCCCGCTCCGAGAGCAACTGTGAGTTGGAAAGGAGCTCAGACTTCTCTCTGGAGTCCTGAGCCCAGGGGTGGGCACCTCAAGTGCTCTTGGTGTAGACGATCTCACACACACACACACACACACACACACACACACACACACACACCCTTAGAGGACCCTGGAGGTAGGAACTAGGGCGAGCTTGGACACACACACACACACACACACACACACACTGCCGGAGAGATTTGCTTTCAAACAAAACAACAATAAAACAAGTGTGCTGCCCAGACCAGCCTGTCTGCCCAGCTGAGCTCATCCACCCTGCGCCCCACTTTGCCACCTCTGACCTAGTCCTTCTGCCCACTCCACCACCCTCCCCAGCCCTGAATTCCTCCTAAAACCCAGCCCAGACCAATCGCAACTCGTCATGACTCTATAGGATCGAGTGGAACTGCCCCTTTGGGTTTCTGAGACTGTCCGTCTTTATGGGAGCAGAGAGCCTTACCTTTCTGCCTCACGGTAGCTGGTGGGTTCAAACTGCTGACCTTGTGCTTAGTGCCCAATGGCTAACCCACCACAAGACTGGGGCTCCTTGGATTCCTCTAGGACAGGACTTACTTAGTTTCTCTCTTCCCGCATCTCTGCTCTGGATCCCACATCTTGGTGGCTCCCTTCGCTGCGGGCCCCAGGTGGCTGTGGTGCCTGACCTCCATCCCCCGTGTGGCCTCACAGCACCCCTTCTCTCCTAGCTGTTGTCACCAAGTGTGATTTTGATGATAACGCCCATCCTCTTTGTGACTGGACCCAAGTCTCTGCCAATGATGGGAACTGGACTCGAGCCAAGGGGCCAGGGCACACTGAGACCACTGGCCCCCCTGGGGGTTACCCCAACCAAGGTGAGAGGTCCCTCCCCGCCCCCAGCAGCAACCCCTGGTTTCAAAGAGGTGGGTGGGGAGGAAGTAGCTGGAAGCTGGGGGAGGGGCCAGCTGGCTGAAGTGGGGACAGAGCAGCAGGAAGGTGGGAGGGGGAGGGACAGCATCCGGACACCAGGAGCCTCATATCTGGGACCTGGGCACTGCCTCCCTCCCACAGAGGGCTACTACATGCTCATGGACGCTCGAGCCTTCCGCCAGGGTGGGGTGGCCCGTCTGAGCAGCCCCCCCTTGTCGTACCCCGGGCCGCTATGTGTGCACTTCGCCTACCACATGTTCGGGCTGTCGTGGGGCGCCCAGATCAAATTGCTGCTGCTCCCTAGCGCCGAGGGGGCGCAACCCCGCCTGCTCTGGAAGCACAGAAACATCCAGAGCACCTCCTGGATGCCCACTGCCGTCACTGTGCCTGCGGGGCTGGCCCAGCCTTCCCGGGTGAGGCCGAGGGCCACCCTGGGAGACGGGGGGTGTAGGTGGGGGGACAGGGGGTATGTAAGGGCTGGGGGAGGGCTGCAGCGAGGAGGGGGCAGTGGGAGCTGAGGTTGCCTGGTCAAGAGGCTCATGGGGTGGTGGGCCCCTTCTCCCCACTCCTGCAGCTGGTGTTTGAGGCCGTGAGGGGCAGCACCACCTCCCTGGACATTGCTCTGGACGCTCTCTCCGTCTTCCGGGGACCCTGCCAGCCCAGTGAGCCACTGTCCCACGTCCACCAGTGCCCTGGGGGTGGGGCGGGGCAGGGGAAGGCAGGGGCTAGAACCCCAATTTTGCACAGACAGCATTGGGGCTACCTGCTCCTGTCTCTCTTTGCGCCCCACACCTTGGACTCCTGAAGCAGCCACCCCTGAAGAGACACCTTCTGCCACCTAGGGCTGGGAGGGTCCCTAGTGTCATGTGGGCAGCTCGCCCAGTTTTCCCTGGATGTCTCTGTTTAGCTTAGAAAGTTCTGCTGCCCAGGAAACGATCAGGCCTGAGCAAACTGGAACGTTGGATCACCCTCACTGCTACCCCATATCCATCCATCCATTCATCCACCCATCCATCCACTTATCCATCCATCCATGCACTCATCCACTCACCCACTCATCCACCCATCTATCCATCCATCCATCCATGCACTCATCCACTCATCCATCCATCCATCCATCCATCCATCCATCCATGCACTCATCCAC